AGAGTAGAGTATATTTTTTTGCTTTGTTCGTTTGGTAGTAAAGTTTTCAACTCTCGATTATATTTTAATTAGCAGCTTTTGGCAATCACTTTTGGAAATTGTGTTTTAGAACAAATAAACTGTAAGAACTAGTATGAACTTCCTCACATTATGAGGGAATCAAAGACAACAAGATTAAAATCAGAGGATAAAAATAAAAGATTTATTTTCCGGAAAAAGGTACAGTCACAAAACTGAGTGACTAACTTAAAATAAATTTAAATACAAAAGTGTGTAACACACTGAGTAGTAGTAAAAATTTTGTGATTTCACAGAGTTTATATATGCTGGGAAAAGTGCGCGATAACAAAAATGACATCTGTATCTTGCAGTCGGTTACAACCAATTTCCGAAAGCAGAAAGAAAAGCAGGATGTGCTAGATGACTGATTGCAGGTTCGGTATTACCTTCTATCTAGTACCCCCCCTACAAAACTTTAATGGTAACCAACGCAACTTTATTTAAATATTCTGCGACATCTTCTCCAAACCCTAACGCATTAATTAGGTGTGAACAAACCAAATTGAATTATTTTCCATCTGTCACCCGCAGCTTTGTCTTTTTGGAAGTGCTTATATTTCATTTTTAACTAGTTAAAAAATATTTCGAATAAGCTCTTTAGATACGGAGTTTTAGTAATAATTTAAAATCTGTTCAGCAGCGAACAAATCACACAACCCATCGCAAGTATGAGTCCAGAACATTTCAGCATAATTGGCAGCAAAAGCTTTAAAATAATTTCCATCTCTGCCGCGAAATAAGATGACGTGAAAAATTTAATTTCTTTTTTTTTTTTTGTATCGCACTACTCATTCCACTATTTTTTCAAAAAGTACCGCAGTACACTATTTACTATGGAAAAATTTAGCGACTACAGTAGTTCAGCTACTTCCGACAACTGAAGTCCCGCAGTGGACTGATCGTTAAGACACGGTTCCCAGCAGATCACCGAAGTCAAGCATCACTGACTGCGGTCAGTGTGCGGGTGGGTGGCCCACTTGGATCAGTCTGCGTAGGGACCGAGGGTGTGCGGCATTGGTCCTCGTTAAACTGTTCTACCGTAAAGTGCTCGACTTCGCGCGCAGGTCGTCGGGCTACCAAAGCGGGGGTGCCATCCCCTCCGCAGAGGATCAAAATTGTGATGGCATGTCTTCGGATCATCCTCCGGGATGTTTCCCAGACCGTCGCCAATAGCCCATTGTGCAACTCTAGTGCGACGTAAATTAACAACAACAACAACAACATCCGACAACTGAATGTAATTATATCTTATGATGTAAGGATTCATTAAAATATCATTGTAAAGTACATAAGTGTGAAACCATAACATTGAAAATACTTTACGAATAGAATAAACATGTTTACATAAAATAAAGTATTGAGGGGTATCACTAGGGGGGAGTGCTGTGGTGCAATAACATAACAAGCATTTAAATTTAGTTTTATAAAAAATAAAAACAACGCATTGCTAAGACAACTCAATAATTATTACTATCTTGACGTTCCAGACATTGGGGCGTGAAAGTATTAATGGATGTTATATTAACTTGTGTAAATAACTGTGTATATTAAATGTTGGGGTGTCTCCAATTTACTTCGTTTTTATTTATCCAAAATCGCATACGGCAGGAAGACTGAAAACCTTCCCGTACATAACATTTCATAAGTTAATTTATCGCTTACTTCAGTGTTTCCCAAATTTTTGACTTTTGGGTACCCTTTCTAAGTTTTTCGAAACACTGTGTACCACTAATAAAAGAATGAATGTATTTTTTACTATAAAAAAATTGCACAAAAGTTAAAAATCCCAACTGGCTGTTGACACCACTCATTATTAACTGTTAACTCTGCAAAAAGTAACCAATAGAAAAATACGTTATTTGCTAATTTTCATGGCTAGCTTTGTTTTTAAATGAAATTTTTTGAAATTTCCATTTGCTGCAAGATATTTCACATAAGAACAAGTACCCCCGCTAAACTGTTCCCGTACCCCTGGGGGTACGAGTACCACACTTTGGGAAACACTGCCTTACTTGAATTGTTTTATTTGCTACATAATGAACTTTAAGCGTGATAAAACATTATCTTAATCCAGATTATTCTGTTTTATTCATACTGAAATCCAAATTTATTCTTTTAAAACTGTACGTCACAAATAAATTTAAACAAATAAGAACCCAACTTAACCATTAAACACTGATGATAAAGAATGAACCATTATTNATAAATAGTTTAGAGAGAATGTAACATTCGTAAGATGCCGTTAAAAAAAAACATAAACTTTTTTTTATGGCTTTATTTGTCATCAATAGTAAGTAAAGCGTAACTCTCCCATAATGTTTACATAAGATATTTTTTACTGCGATCTCTTCCCGGAAAAAGCAGTTTCAATTATTTTTGCAGAACATGGGACTTTTTTTTATATAGGGAATGTAGTGTATATTGCCCATATACCTGAGGATTGAAAATACTCCCCTTACCCTTTTGACAGCAAAAATATATAAATTCCGTATCCTTCCTTGCATAATACTTGATTTTCCTCTTAGCTATCAGTGTGAGAATCAGTCTTTTAATAATAACCTTAACATTAGCAGGGGTGATTGTGAGCTCAAGTCAAAATTCCGGAAAATTTCTTGAGTTAAAAAAAACAAAAAAACATTTTAAATTGAAAAATTAGAAAATAATTTAAACACTGTTTTTTTTCCTTTTTCTCAATATTTCTTAGTTTACTTAAAATATGTTTAAAATTTTACACATACCTATACCATTTACACATACCTATGATGACCTGGAGAAGTAATTATAATTTACAAATAGTCTTTCTTTCTTGAGTTTTATGATTATAACAACTATTTACTGATAAAAAATTAATATTAATCATGAATGTAAGCTTATAAAGTATCTCTCTGGCTCTCCCTTACAAACAAATAAAATAAACTATGTTTTTAAGTTCCACCTTTGAAAATTTGATTTCCGGAAACTTCTGTGATCAATGATTTTTTGAAACGCCTGAACCATCGAACTCCAGAAACTTCCGGATCACTGTTAGCGAAAATTCCGGAAATCCGGATTTTTTCTGGCGCACAATCAGCCCTGTTATAAGTACAAATTTTAATACTTATTTTTTGATGTATTTTAGTCGTTATCACAACATTTTTACCGTTTTTAAAACCATTCAACAATAATGTTCTGAGTTTTTAATGCTACACTCAAAAACCTTTACAATCTTCTTTCTCGATTGCGATAAATACAATCCCTGCCTAAATCATTAGGCGCACTATAAAGTTCTATGCAAAACTTTAACTATCAGGTGATACTATAAAGCTGTATTATTTTTATGCTGTTTGCATTCGTTTACGTTCAAAAAATAATAAAAATAAATAAATAAAAATAGGAAGTACATAAAAAATTTCCTGAATAAAAACCCCATTACATGCATGTTTAAATGTAAAAGTATTGCATATGAACTCGTGAAAAACACGTCATTTTTAAAACACTACAGAGCGTCTAATAATTTGGTCTAGTTATTATAATATACTATTATAATACCTGATATAATACATATTCTATGTTTATATAATACGTCGCCTAATTTATCCAATCGTCGAATTTCTATTATATATCGTCTAATTTAGCCAGTTGATACACGAAGTTCAACAAGTGCAAACCGGTTTAAGATTCTATGTAAAATCAGCTTTATTGTTCTTGCGGTGGTGAAACCGGTTTGCTCTTGTTTACATTCGTTTATCAATTGGCTTATATTGTAGCGCATTACGTTAAAAATAAATACAAATAGGAAGTATGTAAAAAATTTCTGGAATAAAAACTCATTACATGTATTTTTAAATATAAAAATATTGCACATATACTTGTGCAAAACATGTAACTAAATAAAAACTACAGTGTGTCTCATCATTTGATTCAATTATTATAATATACTAATATAATGCCTGATATAATAAATATTCTATATTTATATATAACATATCGTCCAATTTATGCAATCGTCAAATTTATATTATATATGGTCTAATTTGACCCATTGATACACGAACGTAAACAAGTGCAAACCGGTTTGAGTAAAAAGAGTAAAGTTGTATTGCATCACCTTATCTATATTATATAAAACGCTAATACGTATGTATCAATAAAACCGATGATTTTTCTTTTCTCGCGTTGGCAACAGTTTTCATTTTTATTTGATAGGCACCGATGATTTTTCTTTTCTCGCGTTGGCAACAGTTTTCATTTTTATTTCAAGAGCACGTAGTGAGCATCCTATGGCTAATCTATATTATATAAAACGCTAATACGTTTTAATTGATAGGCTTCGGCGCGCAGGAGCATGTAGTAAGCATATCATATGTCTAATCGGGTGAATTCTCACAGAATTATCAAAAAAATTCTCACAAAATTATCTTCATCGAAGCCGATGCTTTACATCCAGAGTTCAGTACTATTTCATATTGTTTTACAACACATGGTTTTAGCCCTCTGGTGGGAAAGACTTTAAAACAAAACTTACAACAGTTACTTTTCTCAACAACTGAAATTTAGAATAGTGTGATTAAGAAAAATATGTGAACTGTTTGCAATTTCAAATTAATATTGAAATGCACAGGTTTAGAATTTTCTACAGTGAAAAGTTTTCGGAACTTCAGTGTTCAAAAAAGTATACAAAAGCTAGACGTTAAGAACGTATCCAATGAGCGAGCAAAGCGAGCATCGGATTGCGAAGCAATCCGAAATGAACTGCGAAAGCAGTTCCGGGGGTTGGCGAGGGCCAGCGAGCAGGGGGCGAAGCCTCCTAGTAATTATTATTTTGCATACAATCTTAGAGTGCGTCTAATACTTTGGCTAGGGCTTGTATTGTCATGCGCATAAAGTTTATTTCCAAAACATCTTTTAAATTAATTCGGATAGAGGAAAAAAAGAAGTGAAATAAAGAGGAAGATAGCTACCATTTTGTTTGGATCCACGAAAGCCGACGTCGTAGGAGGCGAAGAGTACAGAGCAGGGACGAGACACCACTTTTCCACTGGCAGTGGATGGCCAACAATAAAAAGAATCCCATATTGATTTGCAAAAGGGTTCTGTTGAAATAAAATAAATCAGTTGTGAATGCAAAACAAAATGTAATCATACAAGTGTTGAACAGTTTCTAAACTTTCGCTCTAAAGGAACAACTCTGTTGGAAAATGTATATGAAATGCTCTGTAGGAAATGTTTGTGAGTCGATGCAGTTAACACTGAACATACCATAACCTGTCAGATGACCGTTTAAGAACTTTTGCATCGAAAATGCGCTAATCATCGTATCGTTTTTGCACACCTGACTTCATTACTTTTTATAACAATTATATACAGTTAATATTCCATTATTATTTCTTTTTTGTTCGTTTCGAATAATAATTGTCGTATACCAATTTCTACCACAACCGGTCATTTGACCGAGAGAACAATTTATTTTGCTTTATAAGGTTATCGGATCACAAATGACGATGTAATGCTTGTTCAACGTATTGCATTCGATGAGTTTCCCATTTCTGTATAGACTGTTGCGTAGTGAGTTCAATCAGAATAACTGTGAATTCAAATTTCAAGAAAGTACCTAAAATTTTAGATTGGCATTTTTGTGTCAGAAAAAGTGACAAAAATTAAATGTTTTGGTAAGTAGCTTATATTTTATTTTGATAACTTTACTTCATTTCAAACTAACAGTTAGTTTTTACCCAGAAAAATGTCGAAACAATCCAGACAGAACAAGTTCGTAGAAGAAATAATATTAATTATAAGAATTATAGAAATAATAGTCCCGCAGTGAACTCATCGTTAAGACACGGTTCCCAGCAGATCACCGAAGTCAAGCATCACTGGCTGCGGTCAGTGTGCGGGTGGGTGATTACTTGGATCAGTCTGCGTACGGACCGAGGGTGTGCGGTATGGGTCCTCGTTAAACTGTGCTACCGTAAAGTGCTCGATTTCGCGTGCAGGTCGTCGGGCTACCAAAGCGGGGGTGCCCCCCCCCTCCGCAGAGGATCAAAATTTTGATGGCATGTCTTCGGATCATCCTCCGGGATGTTTCCCAGACCGTTGCCAATAGCCCATTGTGCAACTCTAGTGCGACGTAAATTAACAACAACAACAATAGAAATAATAATAATTATAAGAAATATGTTTGCTTAAAATGTACAATGAAAACACCCTGTATATGTAAAAAATTCATTGAGCAATGAATTAAAAATTCTTAATTTTCGCGTTTGTAATACATGAAATGGGCAATATACAATTTTGTTTAATTATAATAAAGTTATTTTTAGTTTTTTTCCTTCCTAACATCCATATTTCATATATTCAATCAAGAAACATAAAGTCAGATCATTTGACCAGCTGTGGTTGAAATAGATATATATTATAGTGTTAAATACAAAAGAAAACAAGACATTTTTAGTTTAACCTCAGTAGGGTTTCAAATATATATTTTATTTCTTTGATTATTCTAATGCATTGGTGACACAAAGTGGTTTCTTTAAAATATTTTTATCATTTTTCCTCTTTTGATTTCATCGGCTGACCTAGATTGCTTTTGTTTGTTTGACGGAGCAATATATCTATATTCGTGTGTTTGACTTTCAATAACGTTGCAACAACTTAACTGTATTGAATGCGTTGTTCTTTTATGTTCTTTGGCACGGTATAATGTGTTTACTTTTACTGAATTATGCTTTGGTTTTTCAAGAATGTTTGATGAGATTAGCTAGATTGCTCGGTATAGCCGAGTCCATTTTTTATGCTATAAAATTCTCAATTCAATTTGTGGCTAGACTTTTGTTTACGCCGCCACTTTTTGATTTCATCACGTAGAGTACCTCCCTGAGGTTTGCCTTTTTTCTTTCTTTTTTATTCCGACAATCACTGATCATCCGATCTTGACCAGTGATACTTTCTCAATTTTTTGTTTGTTTATTTTTCATTCCTACTTTGTTATTAAATTGTTTTTTTAGTTTACCAAAATCACGTGAGAGCAGAATATTTTATTTTATACTAGCCGCCTAATGCGGCCAACTGTCCGCCACGCTAAAGGTTTTCACAAATAAAGTTTTTTAAAACATAGNTATTAAATTGTTTTTTTAGTTTACCAAAATCACGTGAGAGCAGAATATTTTATTTTATACTAGCCGCTTAATGCGGCCAGCTGTCCGCCACGCTAAGGGTTTTCACAAATAAAGTTTTTTAAAACATAGCAGGAAACCTGAAGATTAGTGGACAATTAAAGTGTCCCTGTCCTGCAATTTTGTCTTCATATCCAGTTCTGCTGCAGACAAAAGTTAAACTTTTCTCTCCACTTTGATAAATGTAAACTAATGCGAACCTTACAATTAAATTATTAATTCCTTCGTATATTATTGGTTTAAGTTGTCGAAAATCAATATTTCAATTGTAAGGTTCGCATTAGCATACATTTATAAGAGTTATATAGTTTTTTGAATATGGCTCTTTGAAGGCATAGATTTTCTTACAAAATGACTGATAACTAAAAAACTAATCCAAATTTTTGAAAAAGAAAAAAAAATACTTCTTTATTATGTCAAAACACAATTATGTGCCGAGTATCGTGCCTGGGCGAGGCTTCTGGGGCGATATATTGTGATTACAGACACACACACAGCCGCGTTTGTTATTATGTATAGATTTTTATAAACCGCCGTTGAACAGCCGACCAGATTTTTGGGTTTACGATTATTAATGCTGATGGGAGGGCTCAAGTTTGACTGAAGCCCCACGTAGCCACGAAAGTTGTCAACAAGTCAAAGGCTTCGTATAGCTGCTGTTTCATGTCGAAAACTGGGTTCAATTTATAAAAGTCGTTGAATCCAACCGACCCAATATTTCGGGTTTACGACTACTGTAGCCTTGTGATTTTGAACCCATCCAGAAGACAGGGGAACGTGGAGTTTTTGGCTACTCTACTTTTCGTTGAGCTGTAATTCAAAAAAAGTATCTTACTGAAAGTGTTGAGCACTTCTGACTTTTCATAAAGTGGCCCAATTTAATGTGCTTATTTAATTATTCAAATGTTAGCCTTATAAAAACGTATATATATAGAATCTTATATCTAAAATTACGGAAAAGGCCAGAATAGACTCTGTGTTGTTTTTTTTTTATATATATCCTATATCCTCGGGTAGTTTTGCATGTACGGTACCCTTTGCTATATAGAAGTAACCCGCTTTCATTTTTAAAAAAATCATTTCAATATACTTAAAATTATTATTTATAAAGAAAAGGAAATTCAGTTATGAATTAGGAGCATACAAAAAAAAACAACCATCTTATTCAGAATAAGGTTAAAACTAACGACACGAAGTTGTCAGAATAAGATTGCCAAAAATTGAATCTCTCATAAATAGTGTTAAGAAAAATATAAAATAATTCATCAACACAATATTCTAATTATTATTAAATTATTATCCACGCTACCGTGAATAACCGAAATGAAGAGATTGTCGACCTTCACCTGCGAATGTCAGCAATCACGTAGTCGCTTTGGGTGAATGTCCGAAATATTTGTTATAACCGATTTGATATTAATTTATTCATTGATATTATTATATTTATTAGATATCTGCAGAGGATAGATAAGGAGAAACATAAGGGACTGAGCATGCATACTGGGCAGTGGCACTTGACTTTAAAGAACATCATTGTTCAGAGTACCGTTTAAATGTATACCTGGCAGTGGCACTGAACCTTTAAAAAAAATATTGATGTAGGGTATACCGGACAAATATATACCGGGCACTGGTACTTAATTAGATCTACACTATATTTCGGACATTTACCAAAACGGCTATGTGATCATCAACTTTCGCCGGTGGAAATCAACACAGCCACCATTTCCGGTCATTCACAGTAACATCCATATAAAATGGTTTCCGTATCCGGAACGTGTTTTTTTTTTTTTTTTTTGTACAGTTCTATAACAGGTGTTAACTTCAGGAATACGTTCATTATTGTCATTGGATTGTCCATGTATTTAGAAGAACCATTTTTCTACGTTGAACCTATTTTATTATTATTACCACGTTTATATAAACTTGCCTTCGTGTATGTCTGTCCGGGTGGAATTTTGTAATCAGTTTTAAACTAACTTCCCGACTAGCTACAAACTTCAAATTCGGCACATAGTTCAGAATTGGATGACAATGCAAGAAAATGAATAGAAAAAAGACATACAAAGTAAAATAAAATTAAAATTTAAAAAAAAAATTATTTTCGAGATTGTNATGCATACTGGGCAGTGGCACTTGACTTTAAAAAACATCAGTGTTCAGAGTACCGTTTAAATGTATACCTGGCAGTGGCACTGAACCTTTAAAAAAAATATTGATGTAGGGTATACCGGACAAATATATTCCGGGCACTGGTACTTAATTAGACCTACACTATATTTCGGACATTTACCAAAGCGACTATGTGAGTATCAACTTTCGCCGGTGGAAATCAACACAGCCACCAGTTCCGGTCATTCACATCCATATAAAATGGTTTCCGTATCCGGAACGTGTCTTTTTTTGTACAGTTCTATCACGGGTGTTAAAATCAGGAATGCGTTCACTATTGTCATTGGATTGTCCATGTATTTAGAAGAACCATTTTTCTACGTTGAACCTTTTTTTATGCTATAGTAAGCCTCCATGCAAAATTGAATATTTCATAAAATTTTAAAACTTCATTGTTTCCCTTTCTGACTTATATTTATAACCGCCGTTGAACAGCCGACCCAATTTTTGGGTTTACGACTACTAAGGTTCAACACCGATTAAAGGATCTAAACTAGACTAACTAAGGGTCAAAATTTTTATCGAAGATACTGGATTTTTCGCAAAATATTTTATTTTTAATGTCATTTTCTTGGTGCTGAAATGTCGTTTCTGTTGGCGGCAATAAAAGACAGATCTCTGGTTTAAATTTAGCGTCTATAAAAATGATCTCTACTGATAAAATTATGTTCAAAAACAAATTTTCCAAGTATGATCTCTTCAAAAACTAAGTCTATGGAAAAAAATTCCGTCCCTCCTTAAAGTTGCCA